TCTTCCCTAAAAGATAAACTTAAATACTAAAAAAAAAAAAAAAACTTTTCAATAAATAACTGGAGCAAATAATTGGTGTAAAAAATACTTTTTTTTTTTTGAAAGCAAGGATTACACGTGTAATAAAGTGTTATACTACACCACATTAACACTATTAGATTCATATATGGCTTCTGGAGGTATTTAGAATTAACATCTACAACACCTGGAATTAAATGTTTTTACTATCATTATAACTTATATCTTTTATTGGTTATCCAAGATTTATTTGAATATTTTACTTCTACAAAATTTGTACTACGATTTGAGAAACAATTTGGCTCTCGTATATTATTATGTAAAACTAAATATATAATTTTTACAAATTACCATTAACATAGAAGATTATAAAATTGTAAAATAAATAGTTGCAGTACTAAAATTACAAAGTTAAAAATTATGATTAGCTAATTCCGTTTTTGTTTTGTTACATCATTTATCATACATTTTTCATTTTTATATTTATGTTTATGTTTATGTTTATTTTTTTGTAGGAATATTTCACATTTAACATTTAATAACAAAAGGTTTAATATTTTAATGCCTTTTAAGGGTTAATAGTTTACTGATATCTTTTATAAATCATAAATAATAATTATAAATTCTTTTTAATAATTACGACTTAAGAATAATTTTTCTAAAATAAAAGACATTTTTCTACAATGAGTTATGAGTATTTTACAATGTTTTTTGATTTTATTTCGATACTATCAGAGTTTTGTTTTAACTCGAGATGGTAATTTCTGAAATATCATATTTTGAGCAAGAGTGGTCAATTTAAACATAGATACACAGATAAATATAAAATCAAAGTAAAATATATTAGTCATACATTTGAATGCAGAAATAAATTTTCTAGTTTTAATATTCAATTAGTTTTATTGATATTAAGACGACATTGTTCAAAATTCAAAGTGAATCTCTGGCCCAACAGAAACAGTTCTATAAAAGTAGCTTGTTGATAACATTTTCAGAAGCAAAAGCTTCACTGGCGTGGTCACGAGTCATATTAAGTCATATTAAGTATGAATAATTATAATACCAAATATTGTTGTTTTATTATTTGTTATGTATTGGATATTTAAATTTTAACTTTGTTCTATTTGATATACAATAAAATATATCCCTAGAGTAATACATATATTTTCCAGTAAATATACTCAACATCTAATTTTTTTCATTTACATCAAATGAACTAATTTTCAAGAAAATTCGATTTCTATTTATGAAAATGTTTTTGTTTTTTGCATTTTAAATATGGAAAAATCAATGGAGTATATTTATGAACAATTTAATGAATTTCGATAAAAATTTATTCTGTAATTTTAAAAATCTAATAATTCCTGAATCGTGATTTGCTAGCATAGAGCTACAATACTACATCTAGTACCGAATAAGGATTAAGCCGTATTTTTTTATTATTCTCAATCCTTAGAACGGAAAAAAAACGAGTTATAGAATTTTTAAATTCACTACATTAAAAATAAAAATCAGTTATTTCCTTATTCTTTCAAGTATTAATTCGATAATATTTTTTTCTTTACGTTTTCATCACTAAGTTGTCCGATTGCTGTAGTGTTCCAAAATCGCCCTACATAGTTTTTCTATTTTCATTAAAAGTGATACTCTTATTAGTCATGGTCAAATAGAACGGGTACAGATGTAAAAATAAAAAACCCTTTCATTATTATGAAACCAATGTGTACAAAAAATCACATTTTATTTTTTACGAAAATCGTATTTAAAGATATGGTTTTTATAACCATGTGTATACTCGTATATTTATTAATACGATCGATTGTATTTTATGTCAACATTGAATTATATTCATTGACTTTTTTTCTTTACACTGTCAACGATTACAGCTAACATCCGTTCGAGAAAATTATGTACATCACATAATAATGTACGTTACGCATTTGTGTACCCTCGACGAATATACGAGTAAACAATGTCTGAATCGTTTTGTATCGTTATTACGGTCATCTCTATGTCCTTGGACCAATTTTAAATCAAATAAATAGTCTTATTCCTGCGACTATGTTATGTCGATATTAGGCTACAATATACGATTTTTTTCCAATAGTCGTCCCTCTTTATTTATGTTTAAAACTTTACATATTCGGTACAACGACGCGTATTATATTATGTTCGAGATTGTTTTCAGAGACAGTATATTATTCGTCTCTATATGACGGTACTGTTGTCTGTCTATAGCACCCAGTGGTGGTTGTTTATAATGTTAACTATTCTTCCAATGATAATAGTGTCTGCCGGATTTCATTATTCAAAATAATGTAATTTTTGTGCATTCATATTGAAACAAGTTTTTTTTTTTTTATTTAATCGATAAAGTACGATAATCTAAATTTTAAAATTCAATCATTGGCAAAAAAAAATTTCTCTTTTGGAACAAAACTAAATTTGTTGTTATATAAGTAGTCAAGTTAAATAATATTTTTTGTCGAGCATAGATTAGAACACGATACTAATTATCAATTACTGATGTTAATTATTTCAAAAAGTATGGCATAAAAAAAAAGGATGTGTAAATATATCATATATTAATAGGTTTACTTGAAAAAATCATGACGATTGCACGCTCGATTAAAGCATCGTATTTTGTTAAACCGTGTTTTAAGTCCGTTCAACTACTTTAATTTGGTAAAAAACCTTTTTTTTGTATATTTCTAATAGACGCACTTATTGGTTCGTCAATTTGGTTTTCGTCCGCACTCTCATACCTATTCAAAATAAACTGACTTGTGTGTGTAAATTAGACTGTGAAAATAGATCGGGGTAGAAAAAAGGGTCGTTGAGCGTGTGGGCCCGAAGCCGTACGGCAAGGTGCTGAAGCCTTGTTCGTAAATCGCGTTAAGCACACACTTTCTGGTATAATTTTTCACACACAAATACACGTGCCTGTACATGGTGTAACAATCCGCATCAATATGCCCGTTGTCACAAGTACACACCCGGAAACGTTCGCGTGAGACAATATCGGCTTTTACTGTAAGGCAATCCGAAATAAAAACTTTTTGACCCACTGTGGAGCACACTGAAGGAAAATATAGAACATAAAAAAACTAAGGGGACAATTTATAATAGAAAAATACCGTCTAGTTGTTTTTCTTATAATAAGTAGGGATAAGTCCAAATATGCAATCATGTCACCGTAATAGCTGAAGGCTTATACCTATAATACAACAGCTCGGATATAAATTCGTCTAAATATTACGTATATATATATATATATATGGATGAAAGGACAAATATGACAGAATAAAAACTCATATATAGTGTGGTTTAGTTTCAATTTGATATGCGGTTAATACATTTCTACCGGAGTCAACTTGATGTAATGGAAAACAATTTGTGTTAGTTGTTGAATATATTTGATATACAATTTTCCATGCACAGGAAAAAAATACTCTTCATCACGATTAAATATTTTAAGACATTCAATTTATTTTTGTTAATGTTGTCAGAGCATACCTACTTTTATACACTAGAAATAAAATATAAATTAAAATGATTCAAATTTCCTTAATTCAAACACATAACCAGGGCTCGGGACTTAAAAGACTTAAAATCATTAAAATAAGTGCTTATAAAAGCACTTAAAAGTTATAAGCACTTAAATAAGCATTTAAAAAATATAAATTTAAACAAAAATATTTAATAAAAAAAAAAATTACCTAGGATAGGAAAAAATTAGTAAAAATTTCGAAATTTTCTTTTTACATCAATTTGATAAAGTGGAAAACATATTTTTTAACTGTGCTGAAAATATAATTAAAGATTAAAAAAAATATTTTAACAAATAAATGTAGTCCATATTATGATTTTTTAATCGAAAAATCAAAAAAAAAAAAAAAATAATAAATCTTTATATTGTAAAAAAAGTCTAACTTTGACTTTCGAGATTTTTGCCTTATTGTTTATGAATTTTCCGAGGAATTTTCTGAAAAATAAAATGTAAACAATATTTATAAATAGTTGAAAAAATCTGGGTTAGGTCCGTGGCCTACCCCATCGTTTATACTTAAGCAAATGTGCAAAAAAGCAAAAATAATCAGAAAAACAGGAAATAAGCATTTTGTTAAAAAATTGTCGGAAAAAGGAAAAAAAGCACTTTCAAATTACATAATTGAACGTGTTATAACATGCCATACACTTCAATAACTCTCTGTAATATTTTATGTCAAATCATAAAAATAAGCAAATGCTTTAAGTCCCGAGCCTTGCACATAACCAATGAAGTCGAATAGGTATTTTAATATTTAAATTATAATGATTTCAAATAAATTCTTATATTAATAATTATAATGTTTACAAGATTTTTTTTAACTATACGCTTTTTCGTTATATTATAAGCAGGATTCGGATTTTATACGAGTAGAATTTGCTACTTATTATAGTATAAAGATAAAGATAGTAAAGTGAAGTATTCATTTGTGTTATTAACCAGGGACTTCAAATTAGAAATTTTATTTTGCTATTTTTTGCATATTTTAAGTCTTTTTAGATTTTTAGTGCTATTTTTTAAGTTTTTAAGTGATATTTTTTTTTAATAAACATGATTTTATTTTGTATTTTTCATAAATCTCGTTTATACTGAATGAAAAATAGTATTAAATTAAATGAATCCAAAAATGTCCACATTTTCGTTTCATTTTGATAATTGATAAATAATTTGGTATCTACTATTTAACACGTTACTAGAATCTATTTTTAAGTAACGTGGCGATATCAAATATATATATTTATATATTTACATATTTGTGCCCTCTTATCTGTTTTATTTATTTTTACTTTATTATTATTGTACAATATATTGTCGTCTATCATACATATTCATGCATTCAGTGTCAGTTTTCCGTATTGTTTGATTTCGTTTCGTATTCGTTTATTACTCGATTGTGTATTATTTGATTTTCTGTTTCGATACTTAACGTAAAATGCCGAAAGTTAAAACATCGAATTATCGAGACTTAGATATTTTGTGTCTGAGTTTGGTGGCAATGATGTTTTTACAATTGACGCAAGTATTCTATTTTACAAATTGTGTGAATGTAAAGTTAATAGTGACAAAAAGTTTAACGTTGCTCAACACTTAAAAACGGAGAAACAGTTACATACAAACGATGTCATCATTCAAGGTAAAACAGGTATACCAGGGGCGGAACTAGGGGAGTTCAGGGGGTCAGCTGACCCACAGTTAGTATTTATTGACAAAATTGGCCTCTTGGAAATTTTTTTCTCTTTTTAGACCTTCATTTGGACTCTTGAACAGTTGGCCCATCGGAGTTACTTGAAAAATAAATGCCATGTATATTCAAAATTTAAAATTTTTCAATTCATAATTTATATTTTCAATTATATCGTTTTAGTAGAAAGTTAGAAAGTTAAGTAAATCATATTTTATTCCGTACGTTTGTTGCGCTGATAAAATTGGATTATATTTATTAATCGTAAATATATTGGTGGTATCATTTATTCTAAAATGTAATATAAATATACTTATACACTTTTATGAGCATATTGTGTTTTTTTTTTTTTTTACAAGGTATTCATTTCTAATTCAGTTTCATCCCTAATAAATGGCCTCTTGCAATGGCTTGACCCACAGTTCCCCGACTCTGGATCCGCTCCTGAGGTATACATACAACAAGACGTACCACATATAAGTTTTTTGAAATTGTTAACAGAATATGGTCATTTTAGTTTTTTTTATTAATGTATTACTTCATAAAATAATACCTATAATACATTTAATAAAATTTTGACTTACATTTTTTTTCTTTTTTTGCTATTTTTATTATCGATCGCCAAGGCGGAAAGAGCGGCATTTGCCTTAAATAAGTTCTTAAAATCAAAATTATTTTCAAAAAAGCCTAAAACCAGACTATATACAGTAACAATAAGACCGACTCTCACCTATAGCTGTGAAGCATGGACTACTACCAGCACAACCGAAAGAAGACTTAGGACCTTTGAAAACAGAATTTGGAGGACAATTTGTGGACCAATTTATGATAGCGTCAATTTAACCTGGAGAAGAAAATACAACAAAGAACTACAAGACGAATTGGGAATTGCATCAGTTATCAGCTTTATAAGAGGGCAAAAGATCCAATGGTTAGGACACGCGATGCGGAGAAGTGAGGATGATATAAGTAGAACAATCCAAAACTGGAAACCAATGGGAATGAGACCGCGAGGAAGACCCAGGAAAAGGTGGTTGGGTGTTGTGGAAGAAGACCTTGAAAGATTGAGAGTACATATTGGAGGGAAGTAGTACAGGACCGTGAAAAATGGAGAGATATTGTGAAGGCGGCCAAAACTCTTAGAGAGTACTAAGTGCGAGAGGAATAAGAAGAAGCTATTTTTATTGTTTTTAGGGCATATTTATAGAACATATTTTAAGGTTTTTTTGGTCATATTATAGTACATATTTTAATATTTTCAGTGCTATTAAGTCCAAACCCTGATTATAGGGTTCAAAAAATTCCACTCTAAAAATAGGCAGTATAGTTGTATATTTTAACTACATAATATTTTATTTTGAAATTTTGATTAGTCATAAACCGCACTGAGATCCATGAATACACATTAAGTTTCTTTTAATGATTACATAATTTAAAAAAGTTACTCTAATACTCGTAGTTTGTATAAACATGATAAATCACATTTTTGTAAATTAGTCCAAACTCATTTTCGGTGTACTACACGAGTATACTCGATTTATTTCATATATTTTAATACTAGTAACTCATTGATATAATAAATATAATTGAAACCTTTAAAAGGACCGAATATCCTCGAGACATTTTAATATAAAACTAATCGTAACTATTCGCATGTCATGTATTTCAAACTTAAAAAATATATGTATTCCAAAGCTTAAGATTTTTGCACGTTTGTGTAAAATGAATTACAGTTAACCTTGTACTCGTATGACATTATAAACATAAGACACATAAATACATACATACCGTAGCGCCGAACTCGAGGTTCAAGTCTGTGGTGGATTAATTATGAAACGACCACGACAAGTATACGAGTAATACGTGAATTAACCTAATAAGCTATAAATTATAATACTGCCCATTTATTAATTACTATTTAAGATATATGCGAGTAAGTACCTAAATGCTAAAATTTAAAAAAAGTTTTTAGGATGGGTTAAACTTCCAACCTCTGTACGTCCATGGGTGGCTCATATTATCGTGGGATGGACTATAAATTGTAAATTGAGTGAGTATTGACAAGACAATTCAAAAATTTGTTCAGCGCCACTAAATATATACATGAGCCAATAAATGATTAATATAGGTACGATCGTCTTGTACCACGGAACTTAAAAATTAAAAATGTTAAACGCTTATAAGCCAAAGTTAAACATAAATACAGAATCTATTTTTTATCGCTTAAAAATTATTTTTTGTAATTAAACTACCCCTACAAACTCAAATTTTGAGATATTTGAATATTTTTTTACTTTACCTAAAATATTATATCTAAAATAATTGTGAATAAGCATATATTATTCCATTAAATAATCCATTACAAAATAATTGTTAATTAAAATATTGAATGTCGATTAAAAATGTACAATATAAAAAACACAGATTGGAAATATGTTACATGATAGCATTTTATTTATTTTATACTCTTGTAAATAAGTATTTAATATATCGTTAAGTTTCGGTATTTGTTAACATTTCAAATTATAACCAATAGTTATTATCAAATTTAACATTTTAATTAAAAGTTGTGCATTTCATATTTGATGAAAATCAAAAATATTTTATTTGAAAATTAATTATATTTTAAATCTCAATTTGAAAGAACCAAATCAAAACATAAGCACTTAAATGTTGTGATAGTAACTATTAAATAAACGCAAACGAGATACTTCGGTTACACTACAATATATTTGAATTGCAAATAATTTTGAAAGACATCAATATTATGATAATGATAATTAAGAAAATGTTGACTATTTATGAATAAACTAAACTTACTCAAAATGAATAAATATTTTTATAGTACTTTAATTTTTAAAATTTGTTATCATATATATGTAATACTAGTTTGCATTCAATTATTCTAAGATAATTTCAATGTAAATCTAATTTACATTAAATTAATTTATAATATATTTTATATATTATTGTATATAATTTATTTATAAAATAGTTCTAAAGCTTTTCTTAGACATTACGACCCTAAACTACAGTGGAATGGTATATGGTTATAAGATCGAGAGATTATCATTTACTAATTTTACTCCTATGACAATTTACTGATGGAGCACATACAGAGGGTTAAAACTTGATAACAATACAAATAATCGATATGTTTTTAATTGTAAGTTATAGAGAAATAAGGATTCAATGGATCATTATATTTAAATAACAGACTGAGTATTATGTAGGTCATCACAATTGATGTATCATAGTTGTACTTTTTTCAAACATGTAAGTAATACTAATCACCACAAATAAAAATTATTCTAAGCAAAGGTCGGAGATATATACAGATACAAATGGTACCTTGAATATTTAATTTAAAAATAATTAAATCTCCAAAGGTTAACATGATACATAATTTATGAACTAAATTATACGCTGCATGAAACTTTTGATGCATTTTTAGAGTCTTTATAAATGTTAAGAGAAATGTACTTCACTTAAAGTGTAAAATTTCTTTGAAAAAATATATTTATAAAAAATTTCAAAAAATATTAATGATAAATAAACGCGTAATGAAAAATTTAAAAAATATTACAGATTCAAAATAGATTCAAAATTCAAAGTAATAACTCTGTTTTTTCAAGAAAAATATTTTTAAAATTAACATTTAAATAAATAATATGTATCGCACATTATGAGTGAATCATAATATTATTGAATTATAAATAACCGTATTATTGGTATATTGTCCTGCACAATTATATTATAATCAAATTAATACTAAATATTGTAATGCATAATGAAGTATTAAAAATATTAATTTAATGTAAAGTTACTGTACATTTTAACGATAAACTTCGCCGGAATATAAATACCAATGTATTAAGATAATTATATAGATTTAATAATAAATGGATAAAATGAGTAAAATGAATGTTTTTAAGAAATCTAAAATGGTTTCAGTATTTTTAATTTATTTTTATAATAACTACATTAATATAATAACAGTATATATTAATATTACTGTACAATATAAATACGCATTTTTAATACTAGATCAATTGCTGTTAACCTTAAATATTATTTCTTAACACTATATTCGCTATTGAGTGATAAAAATATTTATTAATAATTTAACGATATTGTATACTTTTGGTAAACTTTATTAAAGTAAAACTATTAATAACTGATAATTATAATTCGTTGATATATTTTACCTATACCTACTCATTGATTTTTAGCAACTATAAATTTATTAAATTAAAAGTATATGAAAAAGGTTTGTTGATTTCTCCTATCTAATAAAAAAAAAAACAACTACCCGTGTACGTACGTGTGTACTATTTGTGATAATGACCATATGGCCCCCTTCCATCAACGACTGATAACATTTTTTTTTGGGAAACGAACGCTAAATAGTTAACTTATGTTTGCTGTTACGGAAAAGAAACCCGGCAATGGCAATTCACTTGATACGAAATATATTAAACATTACTTACTTTGAATCCAATCGATATCCTTTTAGATTTGTTTGATAGAAGTTGTCATTGAAATAACATTGTAACGTATACTCATTCAATATTACACTTGCACAGTATTTAACTCGTTGTACAATATACAAGCTAGTGTATGCTTTCGTGGTGTTTCATAATAGTAGTTATGAATTCATTTTTTTTCTCTCACAATCAGAAGTTATGTGCTAAAATAATAAATAAGCGTATATAGAATATTTTGGCAGATAAGACGCACAGTGGGATAACTATGTAACATCTAATTACTACTCAGAGTGCATTAAAGGTCGGGCACGTGCAACATGCATATTTTAATGACGTAATTGATAATAGTTTTCTTGATAATTTCTATTTTTCGGAAGTGAAGTCCGTTTTGAAAATGATTTCTTTGCCGTCAAGCCGAATAATTGGCGTGGACCTTATCGACCCGCCTTTTTATAGAAATTTACGGTAAATTAATTTAACCATAAACAAGGAACTTTACGTTACCGTTTATCTTTGGTGAAAACGTAATTGTGTTTCATCTGAAACCGTAATTATAATATTAACAAAGTTAAAGTTTCCGTACATTTCTAGTTCATGTTTTATAATAACATACTGCCATTTAAGTGCGCGCATTACTTACCGTGCCGTTTTGTCTATCGCTATTAATATTATTTTCCATAATTACGGACTGCAGGACATATCCACAGGGTATGTTCACAACCGTGTCCGTCAGTAGTCAATTTATGTAAATTTTTTTCTTCTCGTGTTGATTTACTTTATTTTTTTATTTAATATTCAATCGTCGAGAGTTTTAATTGAAATCAAATTTAGTTGAGACCGATACAGTTGATAGGTTAATGACTCATTTTCAACAGATAAGAAAGCTAGAGCAAAAAGGTCTCGAGATCATGATTTTTCATGATAAGCCAAATGCTAGTTGTAAAGATCCTTTAAGCTCAATATAAGATTGAAGAAATTAAATGTATTTAAAAATCTAATATTTATATTCTACAAAATGTGTATATTGTACCTATATGATTTTGTTTTCTAAAACTATATTAAATATTATCTAAATACCATTGGGTATTGGTTACTAGTATGTACGATATCACTCTATCCGTGAATTATTATTCAATTCAAAATTTTAAGTACAATGAACATTTCTAAACAATTGTTATAGTACACACATATTAATGTTATAATAGTCATATAAGTTACAATTTTTAAGTTAAAGGTTGAAAAATTGAATAAAAGCCTCGGTTTTTTAACCGTCTAATCATAATTATTTTAAGCATTTAAAGTTGAAATGCGTTTTAAAGTGTAAATTAAGAAAATATTTACAAAATGTTTAGTAATATAATATAATAATATAATAATAACATATACGTATTCATGTTTTATGTGATTTAAAATATTATATTTTAAAACAAAATTATTTCTCACCACTAGTTAATAACTAAATCGAAAATATCTAGAATTTAAGACTATCAATATTCGTATGAAATACTAAAATCACAAAATAATATAGTTATTCGATCAACATCGTAACCTCTCACGTAACCCGGTAAAATACCACATTATTTTCGCTAATTGAGTCTATAAATTAGTTTGGCTATATAATGTCAAATCGGTTGTATACATACACGTACGTATACATAGTTATTGTACGGTAATTTTTTTTAAATTACATTTAATTATACAAATATAATATACACATCCATAATAAGTATTGATATTATATTATCAAAATCATTTAAGTTTTATAAATGAACGTTATTTTTTTTAAACGCTTTAATATGTACACGCTAAGAGTGAACTTTGAGTATTATTTATTATTCTGTGAAATTGCAACGGGAACTCCGGTCTAAACTTTGTGCAATAGCGTGTAGTTAAAATTTTATTGCAATTACGATCGTTTATCATCGTGGATTTTATCATCGATCGTTGCTCATACCCCTCCCCATCCCTTCTCACCATCAGTTATAAGCTATTTCAATAACGATCTCTACAATAAAGATTCTGTAATTAAAATAAATGATTTGTTGTATCGAAACATATTTATTATAATTTATAATAGTAATGAACGGTTAATAATTTTTAACCGTTACCCGAAGCAATCCTGTCGAGTAGAACGTAATCAACAACGCTGAAAACACAATATAAATATGACATGTACGTACGCGGTGTTTATTTCAAGGGGTAACCGGTTGGGGGGGGAGGTAATACCTATGGTGACCATATATTTTTCTTGTCAAATCGGGATTAATTATTTTTATTTAGTAATTATTAACAAAATTATGTACTATTATGGTTTTAAAGGAGAAAAAATTAAATTTGATTAAAAACAACTTTTTTTTTTTTTTTCAAAATACGTAGGTACGTAAAAACGGGACGTATGGTCACCTTACTAATACCCCCCGGAAAAGTGTATGACATTATTACGTAAACTACATATAATTGTGATGCGACAATATGTGAAACGAGTTATTGGACAATTGAGAGTTATTTTGTGTGTCACAATTGATAATAAAATAAAATTAATATTTACTTTACTAAATACTATTTAGTATAATAAATTTTGCGGGTATTACCTTTTCGTATACCAATAATCAATTAATGTGTATCAAAGTGTATATCAATATAACTGATTTTAGATACCTTATCGCACGTGTGTAATTTTTAAAATGTGCTGTCGTCTGTCCACTGGTAATATTTACTGTAGTGGTTTACGCGTTTACGACTACGTCTAATTTTAAGATTAATTAATTAATTAATTCCTCTAGTTTTGTGCAGTGTTTATTTTTTGACAAAAACAGAAATTCCTCATACTACTAAATATGAACCATTATTAAATAAAGTAGTGCTAAAACAAAATCAAGCTTTACTTGAGTGGAAAAACAAAATGACAGATCGACCTACGTGAGTAAAAACACAGCTATTGAAATATTAAATTGTATTGGCACTGTTCTTGAAACTCATTACTTATGTGAATTAAAAAATAAATACTTTTTATTAATGGCTGACGAGTTAACAAATATTAAAAATATTTGTGAAATTACAATAATTATTCGTTTTGTAACAGATTGTAGTAAAATTAGAGTATTATTTTTATATATTGTATAATTATCTGGCACAAATCCGCAAACCATAACAGAAAATATTGATTGAGAGTTGAAAAAAAAGTTGTGTATAAGTAACGTATGTATAGTAAATGTCTGTTCTATTTATTTATTTTTTTTTTTTTTTCATACAATTAACCAAAGTTAGATTTTTTAAGAATCTACGTATTCGTAGGTATCTATCTAATATCAATAAATTGAGCTTAAAACGATACAATTACTTTACTTAATTATTTACTTCTAAGACATACACCCTTGGAAATTTATGATACCACCCCCCCCCTCCTCCACGGGATAGAAGGTCTGAAATAAACACTGTACGTGCGTATACGTTCAGGAGAGTTCAAGACTCGAGAGGCGTTGGTTCTCCGGTGGAAATTTTATTCGTTACAGATTCCGAAACGTTTCACCTCGAGTCTCTTCCGAGAACATTCAATGTGGTCCTCGGCTGAAGGGCTTCCCCGCTCTTGTCCCGCCCTCTCTGTCGGTTTTATCTCGTCTCGGTCGGTATCGGGGTTCTTCGAATCGGCACGCGGCCGGCGCCGCGGCGCACCGGAGTTTTTTTCTCTCCCCCGCCGTCGCCGGGAACGCCCGAACGTTTTGTTTGTTTCACATACAAACATGTCGTGTGAATAATAATAATAATTGATAAAAAGCTGTGTCGGTGGCAAATTCGAAAACGACGGACGCGAGGAGGGGAAATGGAAAAAAAAACCGACAGGAAAAAAATTGGCCACAACAATAATGATAACAATAACAATGCATCGTGGAAATTCGAGAAGAGAGAGGTGTTTACCCACGGCCCACTACGACGTAGCGTTCTGCCCACGGGCGCGTTACGTGAAATCAGCAACCAGTGTTGTTTTTCATCCCGCACCGGCCGCCAACAACACAAACGTTATGTGTGTTACGACATAGTACACGCATACACGCATAACGTGTTATATCGCAGACGGATCCCGTCGTCTTTTGCCGCGGTTAGCTGCGCGTGAAATAAAACGTCAGCGGTCCTCGGACAGCGTGTGCGCCGCCTCTGTGCACGTCTTTGTCGTCGTACAGTCCGTCGGCCGCCCTTAGCGTTAGGAAAAATGTCGTGACTTCGCACATTTGCCCCGCGTAACCTTACGCGCGCGTTAACGTTTTCTCTCTCTCTCTCTTTCTCTCTCTATCACTCTCTTTCTCTCTCGAAATTCACGTTACACGCGCGCGTGCGCGCACACAATCGTTCGTATTATTTTCCCTCCGTTCGTCTTTCCAGATAAAACATTGTACGCACGATTGTTGCACCGCCGCGCGTTTATCTCGACGCAGCAACAACGTATTTCCGAATCCCACGCGCGCCAGGCCGATACGCGCCATTTCCAAGTTCTTGCGCGGCGGACCAGGGTGATTAGATCCGACCCACGGCCCTAGAAGCATTTATTTTCGGCCCTGCCCCGTAGAAGACTTGTATAAAAAATTATAATACAACAAAACCGTTACACGATTGTATTATTTTTATGTTTTTTAAGTAGGTGTACGTGTGCAACGAGTAAAGTCCATGATTGAATTCAGCTCTCTACTACGTGCGTGTGTGGGTATTTTTGGCGGCCCGTAGTATTTTTATGAAAGTGTAAATTGGCCCGCCAACTATAAAAGGTTGAACCACCTTGGTATAGGGTATCCCGGTAGCGTAGCCATCGACACGGTCGGCACGTTTACGGTCACAACCATTTCGGTCGCACTTGCGGTCACTCGTTTTTTAGATATACCTAGGTATATCATATACTAATATGAACTAATAAAACATTTATACTTGAATAAATTAAATTTTACCTTCTCACGTCAACGTTTTACGTCATAATGTCATAGTATGAAATTTCTTGGTTGTGGACGATTTTCAATTCAGACAAATGAAATTGGGGATGTAAAGGTATTACGATTAATATTATCGTTTATGTGGCTTTGTCTAGTAATTCGTACTTGATATCAGTGATTGAAATAATCGTGTTCGATCGAAACCATATTTATCAACAATTTACATCAAGGACGTATTTGAGTTTCAATCATGATGGGAGGGGGGGAAACAAA